ATGCGGCCGCTTTTGGGAATAAGAAGTTAAGCGCAAGCTCATCTAATGAATGCGTTCTGAGCAGGTTGCCATGAGATCTCAAGCTTATTCCAAATAAGCATGGAGTTGCTTCTTGCTGACAGCGCTGGCTGCAAAACATCTTGTTGCAGATTGCCCGGGAGTCGTCATTAAGTTTGGATTTCTGTCAGCACTCAGCAAGAGGTGAGCCATAGTCCAAACTCCTAAACAGGGGGTTATATAAGGGATTGTCTAAGGGACTATTTTCGGGGTCATGAAACGGGGATATTGTCCCAGGAGTTTAGACTATGGTTCAGGTGGCACCTGGAGGTATCCTGCCCTAAAAGGGTCAAGAGGTCCGCACAAGGGGCAGAGACATGTTTCATGGGGTTTCCCTGAATTACGGGAACCTTTTTGGGGGTCCCATAATAAGGACTATAGTACTCTGGGGTGTGTTGGGGTCCCCCTGTCTGGGAAACTACCATATCTTGCGCTAGACTAGACGAAGGGCAAGATGTTGCAAGCTTTTGTTCCTTAGCCGATGATCGCCTGACTGTGCGAACCTTTCGCCCAGCTCAAAAATGAGCGCGTTCGTGGATGTGCAGCGTGCAAGACCTGCTCCTGCTTCATGTTTCACAGCGACAAGCACGAAATGATCACCAGGACATAAACGCTGGTGACAATTGTTTGAGGGCTATCCTCCAAATGGAAGTAGTGTTGCCCACCACGCGCTGTGTCGCTGGAATTCTTTAAGCACTTTGACGGGCCTCCAGGTCACCAGCAGAATGTATGGTACTGCCAGTCTTGCTGTTCAGAAAGAACACTGCCTTCTGTTGCCAATTCATGGTGGCCTGTTTGTTGCGCTGAGCGCGGGGACAGGGATGCCTGCAGCTCAGAAATGGCTGTGGAACAGCATCTCGGTTGTACAGCTCCGGATGGAACAGATGTGAGCCTCGCAAGGTGCACCGCTGCATGGCCAGCACATGCTGTATGATATGTGAGTTTTTCCAAGACAGCATTCCGCCACAAAAAAGCAGCCCTTGCAGGCGCTTCAAGGTGATATTTGAAGGCAGGCACAGAGAGAGCTGATAGAATGCATGGAGGGTTTGCCCCGCCTCTGTGACCAGGAGACAGCATAACGCGCTGGTCAATCGGCGTGGGCGACGGCCACGTCATGTCATTCTCCAGCAAGGAGGTGGTCTTCACCGCAAAGGTCGGCCCCTGAAGTCCAGGTCAGGAAGTGTTGCATGCTGTTTCCCGTGGCGTTACATACAGTTTCTCATCATGGCTCAACTTGATCTGTCCTAGGCGCATGGTACTTCCAAGCCGCCGGCCATCATTGACATGAAGATGCAAGCCGCTACGCTTTTCATTGCCACAGCCGATCAGTGACGCGGGCTACATTGAGTGCTCGGGAGCTGTACTGTCAAGACAAGGATGTTCCAGTTTTTGCTGAGGAGCTTGTTTGTGCCGTAGTTTTAACAAAGTGTCGAGCAGCCTGAGCCAAATGGACAGCTTGCCTGTTCTCCACCTTGACGCAAGCTGTTGAAGTCAAAACTCTGCTCTCCTGTGTAGCAAGGCAAATCTCGCGAATCGACGCAGATGAGCTTGGGCGGCACTTGATGTGAATTATCCGCCGTTGCACGCTGCTATTCAAGCAGCTTTTGCTGTTTTCTAGAAGCTTCCACCTCCGTTGGCTTTGGGTTAGCAAGATCTGGGAGCACCGGGTGATTTTTGTTTGTGGATGTCTGGAGGTTGCACGCAGGCAATCTCTGAAAGTTGTCTTCAAAACTGCAGCGGACGGTCGCGTAAATCTCACTGCAGTGCTGGAGTGAACTAGGCAGCTGGCCAAACATGGGCCGTTCATGTACTCCACAAGGCTCTGCTGACCTCCTCCAGCAAAACTCCAATGGTTCAGGTTCTCTACAAGGCCTGCACACGTAGATAGTCAGGTTCTTGACATTCTGGCAAGCTATTCTGACGCATGAGCGTCCGTCATTGTGTCCCTACGGATGCAGTTGCGCCAAGAAAAATCACATGTTTGCTGGGCGCATGCGTTGGGAAGAAGTCCATGCTGTTGTATCTGCGAGGCCTGCATAGGCAGGTGACGCCGCCTCACCCTACCCCAAAAATCCGTCGCATTTGACAGACAAGACAAGAGCAGGGATAGTGGAACTTGATTCTGCAGTATGCGCGGGAGCAAGTCATCATGATTTTGCACTCTCCAAGCGCACCCCTCGGCTGCTGATCCCCAAGTCAAGCACAGTCTCGCCTTGCATGGCAGGACCTCGGCCAAATTTGCAGCCTCAGCGTTGCAGGGACGTATCTGCTCTGGGCAACCGCACGTGAGGCCGTACGCACATAAGATTGAAGGGGCAGCAGAAGTCGGAACATTCTACCGAAATTCCATGTGAGCAGTGCGTTTTGGCCCAGTTTGCCTCGACGTTGCCTCGACGAGAAATGCGCGCAGGTCACGCTTGGAACGGTGGACGGGCCCGAGGTCCTTGTGGCGCAGCGACCAGTGCTCTCCCACGATTCCCTGCAGGAGCCTGTGAGAGGAACAAGTCATAAAAAGTCCACTTCCGGTGCTCAAATGTCAAAATATGAATAGCAAACGGGATCCTCGCAAAAAGCGACGTACCATGACGTTTCTAAGGGACCAGCCTCGGCCGGGTAGCAGCCATTTGCTCTGAAGGACTTGGTGGGCTCCGAGGTCCAGGCGTAACAGGGTAGTATATGCCATGCAAGCGCATTAGGAGCTATGCGCCGTTGTGCCGTGGAAGCCTTTGAAACCTCCCGTCCCTAAAGGTGATGCAGGTGGAGCTGGCGGCAGACGCCAGCTCTTTCTTCCTTGCAGCTTGGGATCCCGGGGAGCAGGTGATGTCAATCTTTCAGGCTCCCGTCCCTGGCAGTGCCTCCTGTTCGTTACTGGTGGGTTCAAGCTTGCCATCTTGAACATGTGATTCTGATAGCCGTAGCTTCACCAGATTCTACTTGTAGCGTTATCTTGAAAGTTCTGGCATGCCTATCCGGCAGGTGTCCATCACCTTGGACAGCCTTGACACTGCAATCGTGGAGCATCAGCAGCTGCGGCAGTTGCGTAGGACTTGGCCCAGCCAGAGCATTCGACGCACCAGCTGACTTAGTTCCTCCAACGTGGTCGTAGCAAGGGGTTGCCGGGTTGAACAGGTGAGAACGCTCGTTTCAAGCTTTCTGGCACCAGGTTTGTTTGAGATTTGAAGAGGCCAGCTGACAAGGTGCTTCATGGAGTCATTTTTGTGCGTGCATTTTCCAGAGTACATCATCGACGGTCTTGTCAAGGAATTCTTGCAACTCCATTCTCTGCATTCGTGCGGGACTTGGTCAACCCAAAAATGCAATTGTGTTTGGGGTGCTGCGCGTGTTGATGCGGTCAATGGTTGGTTGTCTGTTCTTGTTCCCTGTTGGTTAGTGTAGCAGAGAGCATTGCCGGCGCCCGCTATTCCTCTGCTTCTGCTTTGTTGGTCAAACATGGCTGTTGTTATGCATGGCTTGGCGAGGTCTTCGACAATCGTACCATTTGGGGTTTGCCCAGCCTCCTGGAAGAGGATGGCCAAGCATGTGTCAAAACTTCATGTAGTGGACAGCCGCTCGATACTGGAAGCCCACGCAAAAGTTCCCAGCGCATGTTGCCAAAGAGCGCTGCAGTTGCGTGACATGCAGCCAGATGGTCTGTGGGTCCTTCAGCCAGGACACATCACCGCACTTGCTGTATCAGTGTGGGTCCCAGAAGATTTGCTCATCAAGTTTGGCGTGTATAGTATAGTATGCCTGCACACCAGTGTCACACCAGTCATTTCGTGACCAGGTCTAAGACTTCGGCACGGATTTCGGGCCTTGGGTACTTCTTCCAGAAGGGCTTGGCGCCCTGGCAGCGTGTTTCTGAAGCAGGCATCATCAGCAACAGCAACCAAGCAGAATTGTTCATGCCTTTTCTTTGACAGCGCATCCGAATGAGAGCTAGGTCCTGTCAGAAGTAGATGCTTCATGGTGCCTCAGTGAAAGTTGGTCATGTTCTTGTGGGAGCGAACGTATCCCCGCCAACGCTCTCCAACCTCCCTGAAAATTCAAAAAAGTGCTGTTTCTTTCAAAAGGTCGTGTAATGTCGTGTATTTATCTCGGGCACCCACATAATTAAGAGGCGCGGGTGAAGGTTACTGTGCCAGATGGCATGACGTTGATGGCTAGTTTTTTTTTTATCAGCGGGGACACAACGGGGGGAAGTGATCAGCAGCATAGCCTGTCAAACCGCTCTGTGATCCCGAAGATCTCCATGAACACAGGACTGCGCAGTTTCAGACTGGCTCAACGTCTCTCTGTGCAGCGCCAGCTGTGGGGGAGGCATTTTGGCATCTGAGATTTGCACTTGAGGAATTCTAGCATTCTAGCACTATCAGCCAGTTCAAGCCAGGAACTTTGGTTTAGACCCTCTCAAGTCAGGCATCACTAACACCTAACTTCAAGGCCCTTGGAAAGGAAGGCCTTAGCGTTGCAAGCAGGAAGGGTCTCGGCTGCCACCGGCAAGCAAACATTTAACAGTGAGTCTCTGGTGCACCAGCTCGCCCTCTCAGCTTCATGGTGCCGACTAGTACAGTAAGAGATAGGAATTGATTCATGTTGACGGCTCTGTGCGGGTGGCTCTGTGCCAAGCTTGTGGCTCTACTTGCCATTCGGTAGGAATCGTACGGCAAGCGCGCGAAATCCTGGCTGATGCATCCGAAGGCTGGTAACTGTTGTTTTCGTGGTAGACTCGACGCTGGCATGTGAATTGCCATCATTGATAGGGATTCATGCATGGTCGCAGATATGCTAGAGCGCTACAACGGACGGCTGAGTCAGGTGGAAGTTCTTGCCCAGCAGAGTTGGAGAGGGAGCTACTTAGCCGCAGTTCTGCGCTTGTGTCGTTCGCTGTTTGAGACCCTGACTACAAGAACCCCTTTCTACAGATGCGCAGGCTCCCGTGCAATGAGCTCCAGTGCCCGGTGGACTGCAGGATGAGCGAGTGGAAAGATGAGGGTCGCTTGGGCTTGGCAGGGATTTGGATTGAGCCCACATCCCAGTAGATGTTTGTCTTGCTTGTGAGAAGCTTCCGCGGTCTTAGCCGCTACCAGGTGCAGGCTAGTACAAGCGAGTGGTTTCTTCGTGCGTGGTAGAAGTACGAGAGCCAGTCCAGGCCAGTGTTCCCGCAGCTGCGGCGGAGGAACTATCCGGCAGTCACTTCGCTGGGAACTTTTGCAAGTCCACATGAAACTCTGCGTTTCCTAGTGTTGAGCAGCTATGATTCTGGAATTTCTTCCCAAGGACCAGAGCCGTTCTTTCACATCCTTTGTTCGGAGGGCAGCCCTGTTCGATGCACCGGCTGCAAGCCAGCGTGTGCTTTGGGACTTGTAGGACGTGTGCTTTGTTCTGCAGCCCTGCTGCGAGACTGGGCCCTCACCCAAGCTGGCACTTGCCACGCTGCGCAGCCTTTTTGCAAGACAACGCATTTTGGCAGCTCCAGCAGACACACAGCATGATGTCTCAGGAGAGTCCTGCAGCACCATGTGCTCTGCAACTCGCACCCTTGCGAAGGATGGTGGGTTTGCCATGAGCAATCGGCTTCTGAGCACTAGTGACACTGGTGTGCAACCTGTGGGGGTGGGGGGCTGAAAGATGCCGCAAAATCCACAGCCAGCTTTCACAGATTCAACCCCAGGCGTCAAGCTTCAAGCTCGCCCACTTGAAAGAAACAGAAGCACAGGACGTGATTGTGAGATGTCCCAGTGGATGGATCAAGGGCAGTGTCGCTCGGACAAGCTTCAGCAAGACAAGACGTTGCTTACAACTTGATGAAACCAGCCCCTTGCTCCCGTGAAGTGTCAGCCTGCCACGTCTGTACTGTCAGAACACCCCAAAGGTTCGCGAAGCTGCGGAGGGGGCTTGCAGCGTCAGTTCCGCGAGGCCCCACAACACCCGGTACGGAGTAATCAAGTTTTTCGTTTTAAGCGATGCAGCTTGCCCAATTGGCAGTTTGACGGTGCAGGTTCTGAAGGAAGCAAGCATTGGGGGCCAGTCATGCAGCGACATGAATACGCAGCTCGGACGAGCACATTGAGTTGCTTCGTCTGTCAGCCTACCTGTTACCTGCGCACAAAGTGTCTCTCACGCGCTTTCTTGAGCCTCTCAGGTCACGTGTGGTGCTATGCAATCCCGTCCCTTGCAAGGCTAGGGCTGGGGCTGCAAACTTCAGGCAAACATCGTGTTAAGAAAGAGTCACACGCATACTTTCAAAGGATTCAACCGAGCTTTAGGCATACCTCAGGGAGGTTCCATTTCCGTTACTGTCGTTGTTGCCCTTGCAAATCTGCACTCAAAAGATGTGTGTTGCCAGGCAGAAGGTTTCGATCCTGTAGCAGCTGGCAGAGCAACAGGCTCGGGCGGGCGGAATGCATCAGGGCTATGATGATAAATCTTAAAATCACCCCTGGGCGCTCTGACGTGAGCAGCATCATGAACGTTTCAGCCCCAGCGTCGCTCCGTGAGGCCCAGCCTGCTAGAACACATTGTGTGATTTGATCTGACAATGCCGGGAGGCTTTGACTTCAATATCCAGGACTTCTGCGACTCTTCCGAGGGTTGCTCCAGTGGGAGAAGAGGTCACAAAGTGAAAGAGAGTGCCTTTGCTATGGATTTGTCTGGGTTAGCTGAGAACCCCAAAGTCTAAAGCTCACAGACACAGTGCACAGCCCCATCTCGCGGCGTCGTCAAACCCAGCGCTGGCCTGAACTTGGTGAAGAAAAAGAGCTTTGGGGTCACACGCTCCCACAGCTTCCCCAACTCAGAACAGCTGAGCTGAACCCTAAATAGTCGTTTCCATTTTCTTTTCCAGTATTCCTATTTTATAGTCCCCTATAATCCCTAGCGCCCAGCCAAGGCAATGGACTTCAACGGGGCGGTTGACACAGTCGAAGTTTGTTGTTCTTTGAGCTACTTAGCAGCAGCAGAAAGAACTCCCTATACTAGAGGGTGCTTTGCAAGCTACCAAATTCGCCTAGCCCTGTGCTTTGTACAGAGGTGTAGGCCTGGAGGATGCAGAGCTGAGTTGCATGTCAGTAAAGCTTGCTATCATCTACGCAATCTCAGGTCTTGAAGTTTGCAAACAATACATGCAGTCTCTGTTGTTGGGTGTTTGCCTGGAACTTTTTGGGTCCTGTAGTTCGGAACCCTAGCTGTCCAACAGGAAAATGGCAGGAGCATTGTCTACCCAGACCCTCCTATGTAGTTCGTTTTTGGGTACTATATTATCATCCCTTACCCAAAAATTCTTAACACACCCCAAAACGAACTAAGGAACTACATAAGAGCCCTTGGGTATCCTGCAATGCAGTCAAGGCGTCAATGCCGGCATCGCGAGGCCAAGCAAAGCCACCTTCCGTGTTGTCGCTCAACCAACTTGGTAGGCTGGAGGATGGGTTGAGAGTTTCAGTGTTGGTTCAGGAGCCTTTTGCTATCATCATTATCCTTATTCACGTAATCATTGTTCTTATTCTTATTTGCTACTATTGTTGAAAGCGCTGGTGCCCAGCACGCCTACCAAGAGGCTCCTGGTAGTGAAACAGAGCATCCCTTCCAACTTGATACCCGCTCGGAGGTGTTAAGGGATTCCTGGATGCTTGGAGCTTGCTTGCCCAGAACCCAGGCACGTGGCCAGACAGCAGTGGTTCTGCTCGCCAAGGGTTGCAGCGCCGTCGGTTTCGTTAGCTCTTGATCCAGGCAGCACATGGTCCAGAATCAGGCGGCATCTCAGATGCATTGCGGGCGACCAGGGAATTTGACAGGGGTAGCTTCTGCAGATATGTAGCCTTGGCCTTCAGGCAAACTCACACATCTAGCCACCAGTCCGGACTCGCAGATGGCGACCATGGCGGCGGCCGATCCTGCCTTCGTATCTTGCAGAAGCCGCTCTGACAGAAGAAGGTGCGACAGACGCGGACTCGAAGCATGAGACGCGGTTGCAGAGCGGCAGAGCGTCTCGCAATTGCCACAGCCATACTGAATAGAGGTTCATGTTCGATAGTTGAAGATCTATGACGACCTTTCTCTGACGCAATCGAAAAGGAGGCTCCATTCCACCCCGTTTTGCATGCAAGGTGTGCTCACATGCCTTGTAACCCTTTTACAGCCACCGCTGACAGGACACTGCTCAAGTTGCGCAGTACGTTTACAGCCTTCAGCAGATTCATGCTGTCACGTAGGTGGTCCCTCTAAATGCAAGTGCAGCTGGGCTCCAGGACAGAAGACTGGGTAGTGTCACGGTGTCCTCAAGAAATGCACGAATACTGCCAAGGTCGAGGGCGCCCGTGAAGCATGAGGCCTTACCTGGAGGCCGGAGCTATAGAAGGGGAAACGCTGCAATGCTTGCCCCATGTGCATACTTCTGCTTTGAGTCTGCTACTTCATGTTTGTGCAAAAGCTTAATTGATTCAACTGCTAACACGGGATCGCCTCGGCACGGGTAGACCCCCTTCCAAACCCATCCCATCCCTGCAATCTCGTTCGTGCCCACTAAAAACTAGCACATGGAATGTCAGGCCACGGGCCCAATCTCTGAAGGAGGTAGATCCGCAGGTTCAGAGACTAGGAGAGCAAGTTAACCCTCCCCCCCCGCCCCGTTGAGTAGCGGTCCGCTCTGTTTTTTATCGGTTTCGGGGGGCCTGTTCGGTCGGGATCTGCACAGGCTGGCGTGGACCCTTGCCAACTGACAACTCGCGCTTGCTTTTGCTGTGTGGGGGAGGGGGCGGGGCGTGTGGAGGCTCGGGAGCGAGGCCATGAAATTTTCCGGGGGATGACCTCACTGCAGAATTATGCACGAATCATGCAGGTACATGCATTCAAATAGCAGACGAGCTGTCTTCAGTGCTTGCATTGAAGGAGCTTTCGGGACGTGCTCGGCAGCGCTGAGGTACCTGCTTTTGCTAGAGTTGGGGAGCGGGTGAGGTGCTACATAATGCTACATGAGCAGCGTCTGCATGAACACATGACTCGACCTGCATTATGATCCTATAGCATCGCGCTAGATGGGCTGGGATATCAAGGCAAAATTGCTGTAGCAAGCTGAGGCCTAAGACTTCTGACGATTTCGAGGCCTTGCAGGATGTGTTTCCCTCCTTGTTCTTGTTGATGTGGTGGCATACAAGGGCCTTGAACGCTGGAGTAGGACAGCTTTACCAGACGTCCCGAGGTGTAGACATGAAAGTCAGTTCTGTTCAATGGGGTGGTCAAGTGGTGGGCCTGGTTCATTTTTTAGGATTACGTGTTGTGTGCTTTTATCGTCCACAGTGTGCATACATGATCTGATGGCGTCTTCTGCCTACGTTGTAGTCATTTTGCTTTCAATGAGCTGAGCAGTAGCACGCATGCCTGCCAGGCTGCGCTGAATCGAGCACAGAGTGGAGGAGCAGACTTACTTCAGGCCAGTAGCTTCAAGCTTCTCCCACCTTGTAAAGTGCAGCATGCTGTCTTGTGCAGACGTTCTGTATCAGCATTTTGTATTTGAAGTGCTTGCTCCTTGCGCGTTCGGATCAAGCAGCCCTTGCGCGAAGCTCCCGATTTTCCGCTCGCTTGCTGCGCGTTTAATTGCCATGACCGGCTGGGGAGATGAAGTCTGGAAAGATGACGACAAGGCGCAGCATTTTGTTGCACTGTCCTCCCAAGGCTTCGCATAAACGAATGGCAGCAGCCACGAAAACGAGCCACGGGCAGACAGAGTTAACGAGAACTAGTTGCATGAAGCTTGGCTCTCCACTTGTAGACCTCCTGATGGATAGACCTACACGCAAACCTTATCACGAAAGCTAGCTCCTTGGA